TCAAAAATCAATCGGAAAGTCATCTCATACTTTCTCAATATAGTCAATGAACTGATCTATTGATATAGTAAGTTTTTTCTCAGCTTAAATCTTCCTTCCAGGCCTCCCAGGCGAGTCATCAACCCTAGGTGACTCGTGCTGCACGTACGACTTCAACCGCCCGACGTAGAACGTCAGCAGGAGCCTCATACTGGACCGTATGTCGAGCCGGTACGCTTTTCCGTGCCGTTCAAGTATTGTGAACGGCCCGATGAATCTTGGAGCAAGTAAGCATGCTCCAAGTTAGACACTGCATGTTCAGGCAGCGAACAAAATCAATGAACCCTTTCCGAATTCATTTGTGTTGCCCCTGCCAACATTGTCCGCATTCGGCTTCTGTCGATCGGCGGAAGCTGCGATAGCATCTTCTACCAACCGTATTACGGCTTGTCTTCGATGGACAAAGACTAGCGCACTCGATATGAACTTCTTCAGCTCGTCGCCTTCGTCCGCAGCAGGCCCTGCATGCTCGCTATCATCTCCAATGTCTGTGCCCGTCACAGACATCTCACGATCGTTCATGCTCGAACGAGACGCCGCAGCTGATAGCGTGATATCAGGTGTCATCTGCGATTGTTCAGACGCAACCGTAAATCCTCCCCCACTTAAGGAGGAAGCTATCCCGCCGAGCATGCTCGGCACGGTGTATGCCCTGTCGAGGCATGCACCGAGCTGTTGATGGCAAACTCTGCCATCGGCAAGCACTCACTCCAACGCCAAAATGAGCGAGTGTAGCTCTTCACCGCGTCAACCAGTACTCGGTTGGCGCGTTCGTCTGTACGCCCGTCTGCGGATGATCCCGCAGTTGATATTGACAACTCTGAACCAAGAAGTGTAAACATTTCTTGCCAGAACCGCGCTGTGAAGCGTGAATGACGGGCCGGCACAATGTCGAGCAGTATGCCATGGCGTTTGAACACCATGCCAATAAACAGTTGCGCAGTCGGCACGACTGTAACAGTAGCCGGGACGGCAGCAAGACGGACCACCTTGCTGAGTCGGTCCACAAAGACAACGAAGCCCGTCCCACACTTGCTGTCAGGCGGAAGACCGAAGACAAAGTCCATGGATATAAACTGCCAACACTCCGACGGCGTCGGGAGTTATTGAAGAGGATCCTGTGTTAACGGCGCAGGCTTCACGCGTTGACAAACCTCGCAAGCACGTACGTACTTGCGCACCCACTTTTACCAGTGGTGCCAGTAGAAGTCACGCGTGAGAATGGATGTCTTCTCACGACCCAGATGCCCTCTTGTAGGGGCATTGTGGTACTCGAACATGATCTGCAGCCGCAGGTCATGCTCATTTGGAACGACAATGTGGTCCGCATTGGCGTCTACTGCACTGTACAGCAGTAGCCCTTCATGTACACGATAGCGGTGTGCACGAGCCCGTAGATGAGGGGTTAGCTTCCGACGTGCCTCGTCGGAAGGTGCTGTGAGATGCTCCAGCAGCCCCTTCGCGTCTGCATCCCTTGCAAAATTGCCCTTCACGTCGCCAAGCAACATTGACGACGGCATACTTGTCCTCACGACCCGAATACTGTTGACGTCGACCGTCTCCGCATAATCAGGTCGACGTGATAACGCCTCGGTCACTATGTTGAGTCTTCAGGGTTTGTACTCCACCCGGAAGTTGAATTCCGCGAAGAAGGACAACTATTTCCCCCATACGTTGCGAGATGTGCGGCGATTTTATCGCCATACGCAGTGATCGGTGTAGACCACGAACGGTCTAGATACACTCGGAACTTTGCGAGTCCATACTGCATGGCAAGGAGCTCCTTGTCGTGTACGGGATAGTTACGCTCAGCTGGCTTCAGCTGACGCGATCAATAGTAGACCACAAAATC